AGGCCCAGAGAGGATGTGTGAAGCAATGGAAACTCACACAGACTGAGGCACCTAGCTAGCATAGACTCCATTGGGCCAGGGTTCAGCACTGGTACCAGATGGAGGCTCCCGTAGATGCAAGACCAACTCAAAGTGCCAGGCAGAGGAACAGGCAGGCCTGGGACACCTGGTTCATTATATCACATGGACATCATTTTTATCAGTGTTGTCCTGTATATAAATCTTTCACCTCTTTGATAAAATTTATTCGAAGTATTTTATTCTTTAATACTATCATAATTAGGATTATATTCTTAATTTCTGATTTGGACAGTTCATTATTAGTGTCTAGAAATGTAACTGAATTTTTATCCTGCAATTTCACTGAATTTACTTTTTAGTTCTAATGGTCTTTGGTGAAATATTCAAGATTTTCTACATATAAAATTATATATAAACGGTCCGGGGATTTAGCTCCGTGGTTCCACCTCCTGCCTCGTAAGCTCAAGGTCCCAAGTTTGATCCCTGGTACCACATACAAAAAAAAAAAAAAATTACACATAAACAGGCTAAATGTTCTTTTTCTTTCAAATGCTGGTGTCTGTTATTTCTTTCTCTTCCTTAATTGCTCTGACTAATACTTCTAGTACTATGTTGAATAGAAATAGTAAAAGTGGACATTCTTACATTTTACCTGCTCTTAGAAGAAAAGCTTTCACATTTTTACCCATTGAGTATGATGTTAGCTGTGAGTTTTTCATATGTAGCCCTTGTTATGTTGAGGTAAATTCCTTCTGTACCTAGCTTGTTGAGAGTTTTTATCAAAAAACTGTGTTGAATTATGTCAAATACGTTTCTGCATTTATTAAGATGATTATATGCTTTTTATCTTTTGTTCTGCTAATGTTGTGTATCACATTAACTGATATGTTCTTGTTGAACTATGCTTACATTCCAGGGATAAATTTCACTTGACCAAAATATATATTTCTTTTACTGTGCTGTTGAGTTTGGTTTGCTAATAATTCAATATGCATGCTTAACAAGGATATTGGCCTATCATTTTCTCTTCTTGTAATACCTTTTTTAAATTAATAAATTTTATTGGTACGTTTAAGGTATACAATGTAATGACATTCGTCATTAGAAATTAGCACCTTTACATAATCCTTCTTGGTTCTTATTTTTCCCGATCCCCCTGCCCTCACTTCAACCCCTGTTATCCTCCCCATCTACAAAGACTTTCTTTCCATTTTTTTTTCTCATATTACCCAGCTTTGGTATTTGGGTATGTGGAAAACAAAAATAAAATGAATTCAGAATGTTCTCTTTCCTTCATTTTTAGAAGAGTTTGAGAATTATTGAAGTAATTCTTTAAGTATTTGGGGTAATTCACCAGGGAAATCATGTAATTGGATTTTATTTCTGATTCAGTCCTCTTCTTTGCTATTAAACTGTCCAGATTTTCTATTTCTTTATGTCAGTCATTAGGGTGTATATATCTAGTAACTTGTCCATCCTTTATAGGTTACCTAATTTTTTGGCATTTAATTTTTCAAAATAGTTTTTATGATTCTTTATATTTCTGTGATATTGTCATATCTCCTCTTTCACTTTTAATTTTATCTACTTGAGTCTTTTTAGTATAAGTTTGTCAATTTTGCTTATCTTTTAAAAAATAAACTTATTTTTGGGATTTAACCTATTGCTTTTCTAGTTTCTATATCATTTATTTCTACTTTAATGTCCAGTATCTCCTTCTTCTTGCTAAAACTTTGAGCTTAGTATATTTCTTTTCCTAGTACTTTGAGATGCAAATTTAGATTGCCTAATATTTTTCTTTTTTCTTAATGTAAGCATTTATTGCAATAAATATTCCATTGGGGACCTATCTTGATATTTAGCAGTCAATGAGGTTGTTCTAACACTATATATTATACTAAGGCATAATTAGGAACAAGTTTACAAGTCAGAAAATTTCTTTGACGATTTAGTAGTTTGACAGATTGCCAAATATCTAATGTTATGATTCCTCTGCAACACTTAAATTTACGTGCATGGATAAAGTTGGCTTATGTGACATTTCAGAACTTACATACTGTGTTCACTGACATTATGACATTTTGGGAGTATGACAACTTGTAATCATAATAAGAGCTTGTAGCAAGATACTTTAGTTTTCTAACAACAAGAATTAAATAATGGCTGATATTATTTGTTAAATACAATTTATTATACTGATTCTCCAAATACATACACATATATACATATAAATAGTTCATGCAATAAATGAACATTAAGGTCTACTTTAATTTTGAGATTCTATGATTGTAATTTTGACATATGATTCTCTTTTGACCAAAACATTCACAATAAATGCAAAAGGTTTTCTGTAAAAATCATATATATATATATATATATATATATGATTTCAGTTCTAAAACAATTATAGAGATTTATAGAATATTAGAAAGATTTATTTTCAAAAAGTTCAAAAATACCTAAAACATACATTTCTTGACAAATTCTTCGCAAGTAGTTTACAAGGTATGTTATGGAGGCTGTGCTTATACATTTTCTAAACAAGTTAAAGAAATAGCATAAGTTGATATGGAAAATTTCAGAATTTATGTTCTGTGAAACTCTAAATTATTTTCATTGTTTGCATCAGTTTAGATTAGATATGTAGTCATTTAAAGCTCAAATGATTACAACTGACACAGCAGACATGAAGGGCAAAGGTAGTATTTTCTTGGTTGATTTGGGAGAGAGCATGTGCTTGAGAATATATTTGTTTATTTCTTCTTAGCAGTTCTTACCTAAATATGCCTTAGCATATTTAGCATGGAAAGCTGAAATGGAAAATAATTCATGTTTAATTACATTTTAACTAGTAATTCTAATGCCATCAAAATCCATAAAATTGGCATTAAACCAAAGTGATTTTATGTGAGTCCAGAAGCACAGAAGAAATATTTGATAACATTTTCTGAATTATGAAATTAGTATTTAATTCAGGGGCTTGGCATTTAAACTATGAATTATATTTGTTTTGTCTTAATGTGGGAATAAAAAAATACTAAGGTTTTTCCTATTCTACTCTAAGATCACCATGAAACATCCGGATAACAACTTAAAAATTTAGTGAATCATTTTTGCATTTTACCTGCAAAATGTAAAGTTCTTAAAATATGAAAAGCATCAATATGTTCACTGCTTTGTAATCAAACACTCAGATGGTTCTCTCCAGTACCCGTCTAGATGGTTCGCAGTCACTATCAGCAGGATTACCACTTTACCTGGAGCAAAATCTATGACCATAAAATAATCCTACGTGACCCATTTTCATTTTTTTTCTTTTTAAGTGGCTTTTCTTTTTATTTAATTAATTTTATTGGTATATTTAAACTATACAACATAACATTCATCATTGGAAACTTGCAGCTTTACATAATCCATCTTGCTTCTCATTTTTTCCCCATTCTCCTGCCCTCCCTTCAACCCCTCTATCTCTCCCTATCTACAAAGACTTCATTTCCATTTTTTTCTCATATTAATTCCATTCCCTTCTTTCCTTTCCCCTACCCTTCCTATTTCCCCTTCCCCTTTGCCCCTTTTCTTCTTATTTCACATTACCTATTATACCTTTTAGTCCCTATTTACACTTTGTTTCTCATTATTTACACGTGTCCTATTTATTTCTCTTGAGTATCACCTCATCGTACATCCATTTAGCTATAAATGTCTCAGGTTTCTCATTTTTTATGGCTGAGTAGTACTCCATTTTTTTAAAAGGATACATTTTCTTTATCCAGTGTCCCATTGATGGGCAATTGGGCTGTTTCCAAGTTTTAGCTATTATAAATTGTGCTTCCATGAACATGGGTGCACATATATTACATTGGTATGATTCTTTTAATTCTTTGAGGAAGATACCCAGCAGGGGAATAGCTGGTTCTAATGGGACTTCCAATCCTAGTACTTTGAGGTATGTCCATACTGATTTGCACAGTGGTTGCACCAGTCTACACTCCCACCAGCAGTGGAACAGTGTGCCTCTTTCCCCACAGCCCCACCAGCATTAGTGATTGGTTGCTTTCATGATAGTAGCCATTCTTTCTGGGGTGAAGTGGAATTTCAGTGTTGTTTCATTTGCATCTCTCAAACAACCAGTGGTGTTGATCATCTTTTCATGTGTTTCTTTGGACCCATTATCATTTTTTGACATAAGAAAATTGTAACATATTTAGAATCATAAGTATAAAATGTGAACATCATTTAATAAGTCTATTTCAAAATATGTTCAGCTCAATGTTCTAGCAACCAAAACTTGTATGTGACTGCTTTTTTAAAACTAATAGTACATCAGTAAGTCATTACATCTGGCCACAAGTCCTCCACAAATAGCTTCTGCTTTGTTTTCAATACCCAAATCTCCTAGTAGTTTTTGCATTGGTAATGATGCATCACTTTATCTATGGTCTTTACATACTTAGTAAATAAGATCAGGTGAGTGAAAGTTTATTTAAATAGGTTTCAGGGGATATAACCGAATATGAAGAAAAGGAAACAATAATAGCCACATACTTATTTAATGTAGAGAAAAGAAAGTAATGAGGTGACAGCAGTTTAATATTTTTTGTACTCTCACACAGTCTTATCAACCTGAAAAACTGAGGTTATCAAAAGGAAAAAAATCTTAAATCAAAAGATTATAAAGGGACTGGAATTAATTGTTTAAAGAGAAACTCTAAAACCAGTCTGTATTTTTAAAAAAACAAAACTCCATATCCAGAAAGAGACAAACTAGGTGACCCAAATGTCTTTATAATATCTAGTTGTTTGTTATTTTATCTAATTTACAGAAAGGAAATGTGGCCCTTTATGTCTGAGAATATGTGCATAGCAGAAAAAGGTGAGATCATGACCTTGTGTCCATTCTATGAGAGAAAGATCTCTGGGGCACTTGTGTTTTGCACAGTACTTTCTCCTTACACTATGTTCTCTTTGTATATCAACAGGTAAGCAGAATTAATTCTATGCTGCAAGTTGGTCAACACAAGATTACACAGCCCAAAGAGAAAGAAGAGCCTCATAGAATATATACCATCTCGCAAGCATAAAATCTTTCATGATGTTTGCGAATAAAAGCTTTTATGAATAGAGCTCATTGTATGTATTTTAAATAATATCAACATAATCTGGTAAACACATTGCAGTACAAGCATAAGGACATTTGTGATTAACAAAAGAAATATCTCCATTCTCTGGGAGCCAGCAAGATGGTACCTGCCAACAGGGTCATGCCGAGTCATGCCATTTCTGAGGTCCCCAGCAGAGGAGGCTGTCCTAACCCAACTTACTAGGAGATTTGACATCAGCAATACTACCATCTCCCTCATCTGCAATTTCAAGACATTTGAGGGAATAAATCACCAAATTTGCTGATGTCGCATGGTCTACCAGACATTACAGAAATGACAAAAACATGAAAATGCTTACCTGTTTTGTCTCAAGAAGAAATTGAATTGATCTAACATGGATCTAATATCACTAAAGATGTGGCTGCTGTTTATCATCAGGCAAAAAAAAAAAAAAAACTGTCTTAAAATGTAGGACTTTCAAAATTTAAAAATGAACAATTTCACACTAAGTAATTTTAATAAATACTCTATAAAATAATGAAATAATAGAAAATGTAGGGGGTTTCCTAGATTAGAGTACTGTAGCTCCTAATTTGTGTGTCTTTGTCAGTTTTTCCACAAGCTCATCTAATGGAAATAAGATACTGAGTTATACGTGTATGAAAAGCAGTATATCCAAAATGAATTATTGGTTTAATTTTCTCATTTTTAAGTGGAGCTTTTAGCTCTGAGATATTGAGGAAGAGTTTGCACCTTAGAGCTATTTCGTTTGTTTGCTTTGTTTTATTTCGTTTTTGGCCTTTTGAATCCTCCAACAGGCATGAACTATATTGCTCTGGAAAAATTACTTTACCTCTCTGAGCCACTGTTTCTTCTTTATAAAAATAGAAAAAATAACATAGACTGAAGAGGTGTGTTGAGTAGAAATTTCCCAAAAGATTACGTTTCCACCCCTTTTTTTTCTATACATCTGCCTTTATTTGTCCATCCTTTAGGTAAATTGGCTCCTTCTGCTTTCATTAAGACAAAATAGAAATCGTCTCACACTAGAATCCGATTCACTTCACAATTGTTGATTGTATGAGAGGTATAAATAGAGATGATCCAATCCAGTCCTGTGAACAGCGATGTCCAAATGGAAATGTATTCAACAAAATGTTCATAAATTACCGCATGCTTCAAATGCATCAGGAGACTGGGGATAAGGGTGTCCTTCTGCTAAAGTGATGCTTTCTAGCAGAAATGCACTGTGAGCCAGAATGTGTTTTTAAATTTAATGGTAGCCACATTTGAAAAAGTAGAAAGAAACCAGTAGATTTAATAATGCTTTAACCCAATATGCCCAAACACTATAATTTCAAACTGTAATCAATGTAAAAATATTGAGATATTTTCTTTTTTTACACCACATCTTTGAAACCTGGTGTGTATTTTACATATATATAGAGCTTCTCAGTTTTAGTCACACTTCTAGTACGCAGCAGTTCCTTGCCTCTGGTAGCTCCCACAGGTGAATCATGCCTCACTGGATACCAATCTTCTGGACTGAGCACAGAGGAAACCTGGTCATCTCTCTTTGGGTAACGACAGTCACTAGGGGTTCTCCACCCAGGTCTTCCTCAAAAATTTAGTTCTGTTCTGAGCTCCATGGTCGGAGAGACCAAATGCCATTTGGGAAGCTTCTGACCTGCTCAGGGGCTTCTTTGTGAATTTTTAGAGGTTTTAGTGTTTGACTTGTAAAATAAACAAAAACAGTCTTGGGGTCAACAAGGTACATTCCCAGACTCCCAATCCCTGACGGGAACCAAGGGACTTCAGGAACAATCTCAGAACTGCAAAAGCATTTTATGGTCCAGCTGTGAGGCCTTATCACCTGGAATCTTCTAGGAAAACCCGGGTCAGTAACGTTTGAAAAGAGATGTTTGGGCAATATATTGTCTTTCATTTGTTTGCAAAAATCAATGGCGCCTCATTAAGCAAAGGAAGGGAGTGGTCTCTCCTATAGTTTCTTTTATCTTTGTTGCTCTTTGAACAGGTGCAAAGGCTCAAATTATCAGGTCTATTTATTGGAGTTTTAGACCAGAACTGATCATTACAAATGTGGTCATCAAACTCTTTAAAGCTAACTAGTTAAGTAGGAGAAGCTTAGGTTTTGGACAATTTAAAAAACACGTTTCACTATTTTTCTTATCTGTAGATTTTACAATATTTGACACCTGGATTCCGATTATAAGTGCCCCAATTTAGTTCCTTATGAAACGTTGCTTGGGCTTTGCTTCAGGCTCCAATCTTCCTGCCTGATCTCCCATGTGACCTCTTCTAACAGCTTCCCAACTTAACCAGCTGCCATCAGAGCCTTCTCACGTACATCTCTGATTCAGTCCTTTCTATTTCTTTTTTTCTATCTTTCTTTTTTTTTTTTTGGTTTAATTTTTTTGGTTTTTTGAGATAGGGTCTCACTATGCAGTTGAGACTGACCTGGAACTCACTATGTAGCCCAGGCTGGTCTCGAACTCACAGCAATCCTTTCAAATGCTGGGATTACAGGTGTGCACCACCACACCCGACCAGTCCTTTCCATTTCTAATAAGAATTAGCTTTATGTTCGAGGCACACATGCACTTCACTTACTTATGTCTCCATTCTTTGAAGTGGTGACTTATTATACTCATTTTTCTATGGAGAAAACTGCGGTACAGTATACTAAAAGACAAAGAGTAAATAATTTATAAGTTATAGGACTAAGATTTATGCACCACTGTACATAGCTAGCTAAGAACTGTCATGCCTGTTGCAACATACAATAAAAATGGTAGGTTGGTAGGAAAAAAATCTCAGTGACACCCACATTCTCTCACAGATCTAGTCCAAACATCTGTATCAAGGCCCTCCATCAGCTGGTCCCCTAATTTTCACAAACCCATGCTCTCATTTCTCACAATTTCTTATCTGAAATGCCACATCTTTGTAATTTGAAACCATTTTAAACCTTAGAAGACTGAGTCTCATCTGATGAATGAGAATCCATCTTAAAATGTCTGCGGTCATTTTACTAATTATAAATACACTGAGACATCATGTTGTGCATCTTAAATACTGTATCCTATAAAAATTCAATAAAAAACTTTGGGGAAGATACCCAGCAGGGGGATAGCAGGGTCAAATGGGACCTCCAATTGTAGTTCTTTGAGGTATCTCCATACTGATTTCCACGGTGGTTTCAGGAGACTACACTCCCATCTGCAGTGGAGCAAGGTTCCCCTCTCCCCACAGCCCCACTAGCATTTGTTATTGGTTGATTTCATGTGTGCACCCATGTTCATATCAGCACAGTTTGTAATAGCTAAAATTTGGAAGCAGCCCAATTGCCCATCAATGGGACACTGGATAAAGAAAATGTGTTGTTTTTTTTTAAATAAAATGGAGTACTACTCAGCCATAAAGAATGAGAAACTAGAGACATTCATAGCTAAATGGATGCACATTGATACTCTTTTTTTTTTTTGGTACTGGGGATTGAACTCATGTCCTTGTGCTTTTGAGGCAGGCAGTGGAACCACTGAGCTAAATCCCCAGCTCTCACACTGAGACTTTAAGTGAAATAAATAGGACACACATGTGTAAATACCGAATAGTCTCTCTAGAGTGAGAAACTAAAAGTGTAAATAAGGACTAAAAGTTATAATAGAGAATGTGAAATAGGAAGAAAAGGTGCAAAGGGGAAAGGGAAATAGGAGGGGTAGGGACAAAGAAAGAAGAGAATGGAATTAATATGAGAAAAAGAAGAAATGGAAACAAAGTCTTTGTAGATAGGGAGGGGTGGAGGTGCTGAAGGGAGGGCAGGGGAGTGGGGAAAAATAAGGACCAAAATGGATTATGTAAAGCTGCAAATTTCCAATGATGAATGTCATTGTATTGCATACCTTAAATGTACCAATAAAATTAATTTTTTAAAGGCTGGGGATTTAGCTCAGTGGTTCCACTGCCTGCCTTAAAAGCACAAGGACCTGAGTTCGATTCCCAGTACCAAGAAAAAAATAATAATAATTTTTAAAAAATTCAATAAAAAAGTAACTGAAAGTGTTTAGGAACTTGTACAGTGCTTTGGTTGAGTATTTTTTTCTTCAGTGCTGGGGACTGAATCCATGCTAGGCAACTGCTCTAGAGATGAGTTACATCCCCATCCCTTTTTTAATTTTTATTTTGTGACAGGGCCTCACCAAATTACCAAGGCAAGCCTAGAACTCAAGATCCTTCTGCTTCAGCCTCCAAAGTAGCTGGGACCATAGGCATGCACCGCTGTACATAGCTAGCTAAGAACTTTCATGCGCGTTGCAACATACAGTAAAAATGGTAGGTTTGTAGGAAAAAAACAATCTCAGTGGCACCCACATTCTCTCACAGATCTAGTCCAAACATTTGTATCAAGGCCCTCCGTCATCAACCAGTCCCCTAATTTTCACAAACCCATGCTCTCATTTCTCACCATTTCTTATCTGAAATGCCGCATCTTTATAATTTGAAACCATTTTTTAAGGTGTACCTTAAGCAACTCCACTTCTTCCATCCGGAACTGACCTTTCTTACATAAATTCATGTAGGGCTCTACCCTGTGGCATAGGCGTTTTTAAATGTGCTTCTCTTCATGGATGTTTGGTCCCTTGAAGGCCAGAGAAAGGAAGTGCCAAGTGGTGGTGGACAGAAACGAGACTGGAGGCTGGGTCCCCACTCCTCACTGTCCGTTTGACTTTGGGCAAGGCAGAGATCTGCTCTGGTCCTGTTTCTTTCTCTGTGTTCAATAAGGATGATAATGGTACCGGTCGGGCATACTTCTCAAGGTGGTTGAAAGCAATCACAGGGGTGATAAACATTAGCGTGCACAATGAGTTGAAGATACACTATGTAAGGAACCCATCGTGTTTACCTTTGCATTCCCCGTGGTACGCGG